AGTCATAAAGGAAGGATGAATATATAAAATCCATGATGTGTTTCAAGAGATTTGAGATTCTTACAGATGACCAGTAGTCATCTATTCAAATTTTTACATTTTGTTTTAAAGTAGTTCTTGTTTCCCAGGTAGTCTTTTCTCAAAGTGACTGTGGGAGACAAGTTATTTTAAGGCAACATTGAAAAAGCTGCCTCTAAAAGTTAAATACAGGCATACATTGATTTTAAAATTAGTGATGTGTGATGTCCAGAAACATGTGATTTATTTACATATATATAAAAAAACTAAGCAGCTGTGATGTGTAATATGTAGAATAGCCTTTAAAAAATAGCTGGAGGTTGCTTAGCTAATCATCCTTCTCATGCATATGTCTGTAGGAGTTCTGGCTACTCAGAAGCATGGCCTGCACCATTCCATGCACACATGTTCTTTACAAAAGCTTTATTGCTCACTAATTTATGCTAACAAACATCCTCAGAACATTCCTCAAAGAGGGGCAAGGAAGCTGCAAACTGAGGCACAGCTCTGGCACGAGTCACTGTTGAGGATGGTTGGATTCCTGGGTCTCATTGGTAGAAATGAACATTTTAAGACCACTCTCATCTCCAGGTGCTGTAAAGCTGTTTACGTGTTGCAATCAGTTTAATTCTTTTCATATCCTCAATTAGCATTCAAACACAAGCAAATGTGTGAGCAATGAAAACACATTTCAATACTCTGAAGCAACAAAATCATGGTAATTCTAATTCTGGCAGCTTGTCTTGTTCCTATAATCTTCTGAACTCCAAATCCTGTACTCGGTCTTCCTCTTAGCTTCCATTTGTTTCACATGAGATTTTATGGTGCTGTCAGTCTATTAATAATGTCAGAGAAAGATCTGTCCCTGGTACCTTAGCCCCATGTGGATTGAGTGTATGGTGTACAGCCTGGTAAGGAGAGATTCAGTCTTTGTGTTGTAAAAGGAACTATTTCATCCCTTGCATTCCCACCCAGCTCTCCAGGATAGCATCCACAGAAGCTTTAACATATTTCTGTTGAGCAAATGGTGACTGAGAATAACAGAGCTATGGTCTTTAAAATCACACTAAAGGCAAAAGCAAAACTCATGGTGAATAAAGTGGCTTGAAACCAAATGAAGCAAAACCAGTTACAAGCTTTCTACAAGTTTCTGTGGGTTTTATGTTGTGCTTAATTGCTGGTTGTTAGTCTCAAAAGAATTTTACAAAATACTTGTATGTTGTTTGTATTACTTGAAGGCAATAAGAAATTGAGCTGGGAAAGGGCTGTGTCTCTAACACAGAGATCCTACCTTCGTTGTTGATTTAATTGTTTTACTGTTACAATGTTCTCTAACTGCTGTGACCTGCTTGTCAGAAAGGAAGAAAAAAAACTCAAAACCCTAAAATTTCAACTTTAAAAGCAACTGGATTTGAACAGTTGTCGCTGCAAAACTTATTTATGCCCAGTCTGAAATGGGCATAAGTGTCTGGATGTGGGACGTGAATTTTGGAGGGCAGCAGTGTCGCCCAGGTGCCTGCTGGAAAGAGGTGCTGGGAGGAATTTTAGCTCTCCGGTCCCTCACTGATGGTGATCGCAGGTTGCGGCATCAACATTTCTCAGGGGGTTTCTTGACTTTGGGTGCAGATTTTAAGGCTGCTGGTACAGCAGAGGAGATGATGGTTGATGTGTTTAAATAAAACTCTAATGCAAAGCCGTAGACACTCCTGGGATGTCAATATGTCCAGAAGTAAAGAGCTTCTTCCTAATGTCTAATGTAAGTCTATGCTGCTCTAGTGTAAAATCATTGCCCTTTGACCTATCACTACATGGCCTTGTAACCAGTCCTTCCACAGCTTTCCTGGGCTCTTCAGGTACTGGAGGGCCACCAGAAGGTCTCTCTGGAGTCTTCTGTTCTGCAGGCTGAACAACCCCAGCTCCCTCAGCCTGGCCTCGCAGGAGAGATGCTCCAGCCTTCTGGGGTTGGTACCAGCCACAGGTCAGACTCTGTCAAGGGATGCCAGCCTAGCTCATACACTGTCAACAGAGAGGAGCAGGGGCAGGGCTTAGGATGTCCCTCATAGGTGGATGAATGTTACAGTCAGGTTTTATGCCCACTCTTATTAGCATGTAAAAGCTTTTCATCTTTACTTTTCACTTCAGCTGAAAATAGTATCAGTGAAGTGGTTAACATTCTGGCTGCACGAGTGCTATTTCTAACCTATGTTTCTGCTCTTCTGACCTACAGTTCTGGTTTGGCGTTATGCCCACATAAAAGAAATTGTTTGAATTCAGCCATTCAGGAGTATTTCTAAGTGTTTACTGTTATTTAGATATATTTAGTTTGCCTACTTGGAATTGTGTTGCCTTGAATCAGTAAACATCACAGTGGATGGTAGAAATTTCTCGATCTTGAAGTTGGTTTGCAGTCTAGATGGAGAGAAAAAAGCAGTGGTTTCTATAGCAATAAGTCATTTGCTAACCTGGAAGAACATACTAATTCTATAGATAACTGTTTCTCTTTGTATAATTCCTATAATATACAGCATGAGCAAATACTGATGATATATACTGATGTTTTGTTTATTCATCTAATTTCTTTCAATTATTTCCCAAGAAAAAAAATATAGGAAAATAAGAAGCAGATATTGTCTCTGCCTGATTGTAGGTGATCCCAGCTGGGCTCCAAAGCTCAGAATTCACTGAAGCAGGCAGGGCTGAAATTCATTCTGATGCTGGGCAGATTGTGTTCTGGTTAACAAGGCAGTAGCACATACATTTACATTTCCCTGCCTGTCTCCCTGCCTTGAAGGTTAAAGTGTACAGAATGCAGATACAACTGGAATTGAAATTGCTATTCTGGTTTCCTTCTGGAACTGCCTGAGACTTTTCTGTTATTTTTAATAATGTAATGGTAAGACTTGGGTTCATTTTTTTTTGACATGTACTGTACATCTTTCCTTCAAGACAGCTGCAGTCTCCCTTGTGCAAACTGCCTTACCAGCAATCCCTCTGGTTGCCAGGCTGGCAGGAAGAATGTGGCATGCGTAAAGCATTGCAGGGAAAATATTTATTTATTTATTTCCCTCCTCCTGGTCTCTGTTAGCATCTCAGAATTCCATGAAATACACGTAGATATTATTTCCCTGCCCGTAATAACTGTACTTTATCTTCATGGTTTCCACCTGAATAAAATCAAATCTTTATTTCCACTGTGTACTGCTTACTGTAAAGTTTGTAAGTGTGAAGCTCTGAGGATTTAAGTTGTAAAGATAAAACTAAGAGATTTTTAATAATAAGTTCCAAAAATGCGTGTTCAGGGAATTATGGAAGTGACTGTAAAAATGTTTCGAAATTTGAGCTGAAATTGAGCTTTGAAGCTTAATCACAAAATGAGTAACGTCTGGAGCATCAAACCCAGGAAAGGCTGGAGGAAAGATTGTTCTGAAACCATTACTGTACTTGGGGTAAGGAAGAGGAGTTAAACAAAACAAGAAACCCCAACCAAACAAAACACAAAAACCAAACCAAAACCCCTCCATTACCTGTGGGCTGCTTCAGTCTTGTAACAGACCTTTTCTGTGTGTTAGCGTTTTTGTTTTGAGGGTCACACGTTCTGTCTGTCGGGGATTGAGGAGGCTTTCCTTGACCTGCATTTTGTTTTTCTCCTCCTGAGGTGCATGCTTCAGCCTCCTGAGCAAATTCTGATTTCTGCGTGTTTCACCATTCCCCTGGTGCAGCCAAATGGGAAGTGGTTTGGGGTTAATTCTCGCTGGTAGGCTTTTGCACAAATGAATTCTTTCTTTGCATATTTTGTGTTTTCATTATGACTGCATTTGTTTTCACAGCCTGAGGAAGAGCTTGATCCTGAAGAGAGGGACAACTTCCTCCAACAGCTTTACAAGTTTATGGAAGACAGAGGTAACACTGAATTATTATTTATTTTTAATATTTAAAAAAAAAAATTATTAAATCTCTAGTCCACTTTTTAAATTACTTTTTAAAAGTGTTTTTAAATCTAATGGATGTTATTCTCATGTCAGTGAAAAAAGATAACGGCTAGTCTGGTGCAAGGAAAACCACTTTTACCCATTTTCAGGTGTAGCACCTCTGCTTGCAGTACTTTGAAGCCCAGCACACAAAGGAAGCTCAAACTCTCCCTGAGGTGTTTTGGGTTTGTTTTGCTTTCAGAAAACCTTTTTGATGTTAACAATCCCTGTTAAATAAGCTCTTAGTTGACTTCTTGTTGTGACAGCCCTGGCTGGGAATTCTGCTACTGTTAGTCTCGGGCTGGAACCTGAGGAGACTATTCATGGATGGTGAAATTCAACCAGCAGAGAGTGGGAGATGTGCCAGCTTCAAGTCTCCTTGCAGAACTATCTTAATCACATGCAGATATATCAGCCTGTCTCACCTGAAGAGACAGCTAAAAAGATTCTGCTTTGTCCTGTAGTTAGAACAAGAAAATAGTTTATTTTAGATGTCTTTCTTTACAGAGCCAGGTAAGACTGTAATAAGCTGGCACAGGCAAAGTCCTGGTGTAAGACATGTGTTGGAAGTGCATGTGCTGTGTAGAGCAGGATCTGATCCACCTGCTGACTTGGGAGGGCTGTTGTTGTATCAGCCATGCACAGTGGCAGTTGTGATGAGCCTGGCACTAAAATGGAAGGGTTTCTGTTCCCTGGCCACACACACACCTCCACCACTCTTTTTTTTTTTTTTTTATAAATATATTTAAGCCTGGAAAGAGTTTTATCTTTTAGAGTATATTTGTTGTATTCATTTTACTAATGAGCTCACTGTTTCAATTCAAATACTGTGTTAATCCTGCAATAGTATTAATGGAGATATTTTGCAAGTGCAACTATTGTCTTTTTATTTTTTTTTAGCTTGACAGTAGTTACCTGAATGATATTTCCATAGCATATAGTGCAGCATTTTGATTGATTTACTTGAATTTTAAATAATTAGAGATAAGAGTGAAATGTCAAGTGCATGTAGTGTCTCAGTGCTCCCCCTCTTTTTTTTTTTCTTGTCTTTCAAATCTGGGAGGGAGAGAGCAGGCAATCAATTTACCTTTGCCCAAGAGGCTCTGCATCACTATTAACAAGCTGTGTTCTGGACCACGGAACTGTAAAAGAACAGTTCCAAGTCTGTCCAATATTGCCAATGGTTTAGAAACTGATTGATTGTGCTACAGAAAACTGTACTGGAGTTCATACAATATAATTTTGAGGCCTCCTGTGTATAATATTACAGGAGAGTAACCTGCCTTGTGGGAATAAGAGGCTATTTGGGGGATGTGGGGGAGGGAAATCCCTCTGCTGATGGACTAATCCACAATTTTAATTCTTTTCTAGTGATCTGATTCTTTCCCCTTTTCTGTTATGTTCCTTCCTTACTCCGTTTCTTAAGAACTGTCAGACTACAGACCAAGTAGGGATCGTGTCAGGGCCTTGGAGGCAAAAGGAAGAATTTGTGTGCTGAGTTTGACGACCCAGTCCAGAAACTGTTCCTGAAGCTAGGACATTGACTGAGTAATGTACAGGACTGTTTCAGGACTAGGTCTTGCCCTCTGCCTGTCTAATGCTTTTTATTTTTTTCCCCTGTCCTTATAGCAAGATTTATATTCCCACCAGATTTGTTCTACATTCTATTCTCTCAATACAAATGTTTTGATTCATGTAATCATGACAGTATTCCCAAAGTTCTATAAAATTATTTTAATGGTTCCAAATATAATTGCATGGAGGGAGAGGAGAAGCATTAGGGAAGAGATCTGATACTCCTCCTTGTTGGGAGGAACGCTGTCTACGTATGCAACCACTTGCCCTCAGTGGCTTTTAGCTTCTCCTTTTGCAATTAGTTATTGTTCTGTATGTCATTGCCACGGATCCAATTTGAGTTCAGTCTTTTTCCCAGAACTGTCCCAAATATTCATGTCCTATTAGGTCTTTGTGCTTCTTCACATTCTGACAATTTTCCTGCATATCTTCTTCTAACTCAGCGTTTCTGCTTCTACCCCATTCTTTTCAGTTCACTGGTTTTTGAGTTAATCTCTGCACACTGCTGTATCTCGGGGTTCTTTAACCTGTAGAGCTTGTTGCAATTCTGTCTGTCCCTCCATCTCCTCAAGAGAGGAACAGTGGGATGCAGCCAACTGGACGGGCATTATTGCAGAGATCCAAAAAAGAGGTCATGAAATCATAGTTGTCAAGCAGCTGGTGCCAGCATGTTGATAAACCCCCCAGAAATGAGTGATGCTTTCAAAACAGGGTGAATCCTTAGTTGGAGCTTGAAAATGACTGACTTGTGACATATCTTAGAACTATTAAATACAGATCTTAAAGTGCTAAAAAAATGCTCAAGGAATGGAAGAAGCAGTTTGCTACTGTTCTTTTTGATAATCTCTTATTTCTGGTTTTGTTTTATTTAGGTACTCCTATCAATAAACCACCTGTTCTGGGCTACAAGGACCTTAATCTCTTCAAACTTTTTAGACTGGTATATCAGCAGGGTGGGTGTGACAATGTAAGTGTTAGATGTTTCCTGAACTAAATATGCCCAGTCTTAAAAGCTGTGGCTTCTCACTGTGTTAGATACTATTCCTTAATGTTCTTGCTTAACAAAACCTGAAAACTTCCTTTTTAATCTGTTGTTCTTTCTTCCCTCCCTAAAGATTGAGAGTGGTGCTGTATGGAAGCAAATTTATATGGACCTTGGCATTCCTATTTTGAACTCGGCTGCTTCTTACAATGTAAAAACTGCTTATAGAAAGTAAGTTCTTGTGTTGTGTAATGGTGAAAATGTTTTTGGTTTTGATGTTTTTTAGTAACGTGCAATATTCAAGCAATCCTTGATAGTTTAGTGAAATAGGAGTTGACATTCTTCAGTTAATGAGCAGTTCTGAGCATTTTCCAGTGCCGAGGGTTGAAACAGTGGAGGAGAGGAGGGGAGTGCTCAGGGCTGCTTAAGTTCCTGTTCCTCTAATACATTAGAATTCCACTCATTTTCATACCAGGAAGCATTCATTTTCAGCATGTGATGGTGCAATTTCAGAGTACTACAGTGAAATTTATAGAAGAAGGTTTTGGGAAATTCAGCTTTGCAGTTCATGGTAGTTAAGAACAGGCTCTGTCCACAGTTGGATGCTCGTCGAAGTCTGTAGATGCTGCATGCAGTGAGGAGAATTTTATACCAGTTTGTTCAACTTCCTGAAAATCACTGACAGAGATAGACATGTATCCAATTGTGGATTTAAATATCATCTTTGTGGAATCCGTAAAATAATGGGTTTGGGGCATAACTGGTACATTGCTATGGTGGACATGACAGAATTATGTAGCAGAACACTGCTTGTAATTAAAGAATACATATATCTTTTTATTCTGCCCCCTGGTTTTCAGTTGTGTTTTAATTTTGAAATGGAAGCCTTTTAGGAATGACACTTTTCAAGCTCATTTTCTAAATAAAGATTATTTTTATTAGTTATTCTCCTGGAAGTTTGACAAGAAACAATTGGGCTTTTTGAGTAAAAGGGAAGTCTCTTGACTCGAACCTAAGGAAATTTGGCTGGTTGAATAGAGATGACCAATGACTCATCTCATGTTAATGTTGATGAAGATGAAAATATTCAGACTATCTTCAGTGGGATTTGAACTGGGCCCATGTTTAAGGTCTGTATTTTATAGAAAAGAGTACTTATAGTACAAAAGGTATTTGGTAAGTATGTGCTAGGTTGCTGTTACAGTGGAAATAATTACGTTGTCTGGACACATGCTACTCTGTTGTAACTTGCATATTTATTCTTTCAGGAATAAGCTAGTTTGGATTTCTCTCAACTGTGACTGGATTAGTGTGTGCACACAGGCAGTTACCAGAGGACAAGCTGCTGCATGGCAATTTGTTACCATGTGGTAACTTGTTTGGATGCCCATATCCTCATATCAGGCTGATTGTAGCTGTCATTGTGCCTTGGCAGAACAGTGTACATCTTGTTAGGTTTACTGTCACAAATTTTTAATTGGACAGGGATGAAGTTATATTTGTGGGAAGCACCTCTGTGTATTCTTTCTCACCATTTGGCTTGTGGGCAGAATTGTTTTATTTCAAAAATGAAATATTTAATTTTGAAATCTTCTCCGACTTCTTATTTTTTGTTTATTGAAGTGTGTTTTGTGTTGTGTTTCATTTTTCCAGAAGTTACTCCTCCTCTTGCTTTTCTGTGAGCAGGAACGTAGGGTTTATGCACTTCAATAAACAGAAAATAAAACGTTAAATATGAATGAAACTTCATTTGTATCTCTAGGTATCTTTATGGTTTTGAAGAGTACTGCCGTTCTGCAAACATTCAGTTCAGGACCATCCATCACAATGAACCAAAAGTAGTAGAAGATATACAGAAACACGTGGAACCAATGGAGGAAAGTGTAAAAGAGGAACAAAAAATGCCCCCAACAGAAGTTAAAAAAGAAGCAGAAGAAAATTATTCCAGCAGTGAAAGTGAAAAAGAAGAAATAGAACTAAGATCCCCTAGGGTAAGTGGTTTGAACTGAATTCTATTTAGTACTTAACAAAACCCCTTTGTATTGTGAACAGTTTACATAATGAGTTTTCCCTTGTAGGGACAAGTGTAGGGCAGGGTTGGTATTAACTGTTTATTATGTTCTACCTGTGAATAGAATCAGTTTTATTTCTTCACCCTCTAAGTGATCCATGGGATTTGCTGAGGCTGTGCTGGATGACAGGCATGTACTGATTCAGGGGTGGCCTGAGAGCTAGGGAGAGCTGTATGTCCTCAGGACAGTGACACTCAGCAGGACAGGCTTGGTTGTGGCTGAGGGTTTCCACAGGCATGTGGGAGCTGGAGGACTGTCAAGGGACTGACACAGCTTTGAGAATCACAGGGAGGCTCATTTCTCTGAGTTGGTTTTTATCATAGTTATTTCTTCTTTTAATAAAAGAAAGACTTCAGTTTTAGAGTATATAGACAAAAATAGAGGGAGAATGATTTAAGTTTTGTTTTCCTTTGTCTTTGAATGCTGCAGAGGTGAGGGTTGTACTAGTAGCTATGTAGATAAGACTAGTCATCCATCAGGTAGTAGATCCTGAATCTGATGGAGAATAAAAGAATATTTTTAAGGTATTTGAATGTGACTCTGCAGCACCCCTGTTAACTCTGTTTAAAGGACATTTTACCTTCCTTAATAGAACATGGTTACTGAAGGATGATGAATTGCTGCTTTTAAAATGATGGAAGTTATAAGGCTTCTGTTCAACTAAAATATAATTAAAGTACTTCTTGCACAAACCACCTTTTCAAGCAAGTATATGGCCTTTTAAATGAATAGATGAAAAGATGTAGTGTGAACCCAAGTTTAGATTTCCATTATGTGTTGTATTTCTAGCTAACTGCAAGTGATTTTTCCAAGCTTTGTCAGCCTTGATGAACTCCCTGGCATGACGTTTGCTTTCTTGTTAGTTTGTTCATTTATCTATTGGTTTTGGAGAAAAAATGGTGAGACGATAAAGAAGTGGAAGAATTTTTTTTGTCATATCCCTGGCTGTCTATGTTAATTTGTTAATAATTAAAGATTATTTGGTTATGGATTTTATTACTTTATTAATCCAGGCACGAGCGATCTATTTATTAATGATTATTTTTCCAAAGTATTTACCACTATAATACTGTGGATTTTAATTATTATGGTGCCTTCGTGACTGCCATCTTTGGATGGCCTCCAAATAATTATTCTTGCGTTGATAATGTATTTTAAGTGCTCTGATTAAAAAGCAATGACTATATCAAGAGGCATTTAATAATAACTTGATAAACATTTACTGGATCAGCAAGAAACAGTTGTAGATAGTTTCAGTCAGCACTGAATTGTCTGGCTACTCAAAGTACCTTTCATAAATGTGATAGTTTTTCTAAAGCTGAAAAGTTTCTCTTCTGTGAAATCAGCAGGTGGCTGTTGGGATTGAAGATGCTGAAAGGAAGATGCCTTCTCTCAGTGGTCCTATACAAACACACTAATCAATGCTATTTCTGTAGTGGAGTGAGGCAGTTTGGCCCTTTCTATCAGGGCACCAGGCCTGATATAACAAGGCTTAAATAAGACTTCCAGGGACCTGGGGGTATTGGTCTATAGCCGGCTGAACATGAGCCAGCAGTGTGCCTAGGTGGCCAAGAAGGCCACCAGCATCCTGGCCTGGACCAGCACTAGTGTGGCCAGCAGGACTAGGGCACGGATTGTCCCCGTGTACTCAGAACTGCTGAGGCTGCATCTCAAATGCTGGATCAGTTTTGGGCCCCTCACTCCAAGAAGGACACTGAGGTTCTGGAGTGTGTCCAGAGAAGGACAATGAAGCTGGTGAAGGGTCTAGAGCCCAGGTCTTGTGAGGAGTGGCTGAGGGACCTGGGGCTATTTAGCCTGGAGAAAGGGAGGTTCAGGAGAGGCTCTCCACAACTCCCTGAAAGGACGTTGGAGCCAGGTGGGGGTTGGTCTGTTCTCCTAAGTAATGAGCACAGAACAGAGGAAACAGCCTCAGGTTGTGCCAGGGAAGGCTTTGGTTGGACATGAGGTAAACTTTCTTCTCTCAAAGGGTTGTCAAGGCCTGGCTCAGGCTGCCCAGGGTGGTGAATGCCCCATCCCTAGAGGGGTTTCAAAGCTGTGTAGATGTGGTGCTGAGGGACATGGATTGGTGGTGACCTGGCAGTGCTGGGTTAACAGTTGGACTTGGTGATCTTAAAGGTCTCTTCCAAACAAAATGATTCTGTGATTCTATAACAAGAATTTAAGCTATTCTCTTGAGATTTTAGAATATTTTGCATTTTGGTGTGATCTCCAGCCTTTCTTATGCACAGGAACAGTATGTTTCACTTTTCACTGAGGTTTGGAGAGGCTATACAGAGAGCAGTAGAGAGGAGTCATTAAACTCATCTTATTTCTGTTCTAGGGACGAAGAAGACTTGCCCGTGATGCAACCCCTGCTAAAAAAGATAGTGAAGAGGATAAAACACCAGACAAACTAAAAGACAGTAACAAAGAAAACAAAGATCTAGAGGAAACACCTGAGAATGCAGAAAAGAAAGAAAATGAAACTCCACTAGGGAGAAAAATTACACCAAAGCAAAAGGAGAAAAAAATCAAAAAACAGGAGGATTCTGACAAAGAGTCAGATGAAGAGGAAGAGAGGCAGAGGGAGAGGTAAACATGAGCATGTGTCACCTTCTTACAAGTACCTGAGTGTCATGATTGAGCCTTACTCCAGCAGGGCTTTCCACAGACTTGGAAATCTTGCCAGCTAAAACGTAGAAATCAGGGACCTAATTCACTCAGCCAGACAGGAAAGGGAAATTTTTATTTCAAGCTTCTAGTCTGTTGTACTTTAAGGAAACATCTTTTTTCAGTAGGTGCCAGGCAGTAATTTTCACCTTCATTTTCTTGGAGGGCTTGCTGAGGTTGTGTTGGTGTTTTGTGACACCACTAGGTATGGACACCAAGTAGACCAGGTTCTCAGCATGCCAGGTGCTGTATGGATGGTCAGCAACAATTTGGGCAGACTTTTCTGGGCAGTTGAAAGATAAGTGGAAAAAAGAGCTCCTCTTCTCTCATGCTTTTAAGTGTTTAGTGGTGGCTGGTGAACCTACAGCTTGCTTTGGTTGTTATCTGACGTGTGGTGGGCAGGAAGGAAAGTGAGTCAGCTCATAAGGCAATGAAGAAGGAAGGATGGAGTTTAAATGGAGCCTAGAGGTAGAAGAGGAGATGGAGACATGTGGAAGGGCAAAGGGAAAATAGCATTTGGAGGCTAAACTTGACAAGTTCACTTGGCTTTATAGTTCTGGGTACAGCTGTGACCAGGTGACTAGTTTATTACCAGAGCAGACCTCTCTTAGCTAACTTTGGCTGTGGTTGAGGGCAGTCTCTCACCCGCTTAAGCCTTCTTAATCTATTTCTTTCTTGTTGACTTTTCTGGAGTTTTAACTTCTGTGATGTTAAATATAACTTTAGTTTAACTTCTGTTACACTAAATTCACCCTAAAATAAGGAGAGAAGTGTAGGTAAAAATAAGTTAGATAGTAATTCTTGAAAATATGTTAAAATGTTTAAATATTAGATATAGCTGTAAGAAGAGGTAGATACAGCTAGTAAGAGCTGTGTAGACACTTCTTAAATTTTTGGTTAAACACTGTTGTAATCAACTTTAAAAATGGAATAGTGCATTCATGCAAAGATCCCTGTGATGGAGGTCCAAATTTGTGCACTGTTATCAGTGTGAGCTGTATCCTATTAAGCAAAACATAGAACAAGGATTTTTAAAATGTGTCAGAATCCAGTCTACTTCAAAAACTAAAGTTAGTTCCTCCTGTCTTATTTTGGAGCCAAACAGAGTCAACTTCTTTTTGTATTATCAAAATACTCATATACCTAATAAATTGTGTTTAAATTATCATTTTTCTGGCTATCCCTAGCATCCTATTCAGTTTGATTTTTAAAAAACTGCATCCAATCTACCTTCAGAGACAGTTCAGGATGAAGAAAACAAAATCCTTTCCTTGCAGCCTTTTCCTTTTGTAGTAGCTTGCCTATGCTAGTTAAATGGTAAAACATTGATTGTTGCTAATTAGTGGGCATTTTAAATACACTTTACTACAGGGAGGAAATTGAGAACAAAGGAGAGTCAGAAGGTGAAGAGGATGAGGAGGATACAGAGCCCTGCCTGACTGGAACCAAAGTGAAAGTAAAATACGGTCGTGGAAAGACTCAGAAAATCTATGAAGCCAGTATTAAAAGCACAGAGATTGATGATGGAGAAGTTTTATATTTAGTTCATTATTACGGCTGGAATGTAAGGTGAGGATAACAAAATGCCTTTCCTGTCTTTGCTAAAGGGGTTATTTGCAAATGAATTATTTTAAAAAAAAAAAAAAAAAGAAAGATGATCAGTGACTTGGCTCTGAATTGAATTATCCACACGATAACAGGGCCTGACTCTCTGTAATGCTTTTCAGTGTTAGTAATTTTGCTCGTGGTATGACACTATTGCTTGAAATTTCAGCATGGACTTCCTTGGGTGTTGCCAAGTTTCCACTCAGTTTACAGTGAGTGATCCTCACCCCTCACAGGAGTATCCCTGCAATTCATTGTGTCAGCTCGTGTTAGCACTGTCAGACTTTTTTTATTTAAGGGAGTCGTTGATATTAGTGAAGACGTCTACAGTGCAGTGTATCAAGCACTGAAATTTTGGCAACAAAATTTACTCTTGTGTTGAATGTTAACTGATTATTACATGTGGAGAGGGCCAAGCAACAAAGAACTACAAAAAAAGAATTCATCAGATGCTTCTCTTGGCCGCCATACATTATATTCAATAATGCTGTAGAAATGGCTTTTTTTTTTTATTGTTGCTCTTAAGAGCATTGTGATTATGTAGACAAAAAAATCACAAAATTGATCATTTTTTAAAATAAAGCACTTCCAGGATATAACTTGAGATGTTCCAATTCTACACATTTCTAAGTAAACTAAGCAAATTCTTTGTGTGGTAACATCAAGTTTATATGTTGGGGGGTGCTCCCCAAATACTTACATGTTTCCCTTGACCTTATTAATAACGTGGGAGATTTTGAGGAGCACTAGTAGGGTATTTGTGCTTGTCAGAATCTCATCTGGTTCGCTGCTGTAATTTAAAAACTTTCAAATTTGGTCTTTTTTTTTTTTTTTTTTTTTGCTAAAGGTACTGTTGAGGCATGGTGTGGTGCAAACTGTCTTATATATTACATGAAATAATGGACAAACTTTATACCTGACTCAGTCCCCTGTTTTCCAGTGCTTTGCTAACAAGACACAGGGAAATTGCACTTCAGTTCCATCACCCCATCAAATTTTTTATGAGCTCAATACGTAATTCATCTTTCTCATGCCAGATACTGCGTGTGTGTTTCTTAAAAGATACTTTCTGTAACTCAGTCTCTTAATCTTCATATTGCAAACAACTTTTTTTTCCTACGTAGTGATAACAGTATGTTGTTACTCACTTTTAGATATGATGAGTGGGTGAAAGCTGATCGGATTATCTGGCCTGTGGACAAAGGAGGACCAAAGAGAAAACAGAAGAAAAAAACAAAAGTAATGGTTATTTCAATAAGTTTATTGTAGCACGACACTTAAATGACTATCACTGTTCCTTATTAAAAAAGAAAGTTATTTGGTCCACAGTCTAGACTTTTTAATAGAAGCATAGAGCAAAAGAAGAGAAGGTTTGATGATCAGCAGTGAAAGGTGTTAATAAAAATTCCTTGTTTTCCCCTCAGAACAAAGAAGATGGTGAAAAGGATGAGAAGAAGGATGAGGAGAAGCAAAAATCAAAGCGTGGGCGACCCCCTCTGAAATCCACCCTTCCATCAAACACGTCGTGTGGTTTACCCAAAACGCCCAATAGCGAAGGTAAATCGGGAGCCAGGAGTGCAAGGAACAACTTGTCAGATTCCTCACCCTTACCAAATGGAACAGAAGGTACATCTGGTGCACTCGTGGTCTGGCATGGAAGTGCATGTAAACAGTGATGTAATGCTGTGCGTTAATGACAGCTTCAGAGAGCACAGTGCTGTCAGCAGCCTTAAAGTCCTGATTAGCCAGGCGGTGTGCAAGCAGTACAACAAACGTTTGGCACAGTTTCTGCTCCATAAAAATTAATACTTTCAATTTTGATTTTAGCAACACCTCGCAGGCAGACGAGACGTAGCTCAGGAATGTTTGATTCTGATAGAGGATCAAACGGTGAGTGATCTCAGTCCTGTGTATGCTTTCAGGGGTTTTTTTAGTACCTTTTTGTAAAGAGGTTTTATTTTTATTTTTTTAATATTTTTTTTACTTTTTTTTCCCCCCTCCCTGTGAATTTTATTGAGGAAGTAGCTGAGCTGACACTGCTGAGGAGCACAGTTTACTCACAGAAGAGCTATGGCGTGGAAACGACTGTGCAAGTCATTCCATGTTCCTCAGCCAGAGCCTTTCAGTCCTGATCTTGAACAGACCAAATCTAGTGGTATAATGATGGTCTTTGTTGTGGTAATTAAGTCCTCAATATTACATCATCCAGCAGAGTTGTTAATTATACAAAAACGGCAGCAATATTTTTGGTATTTCTAAGCCTCTACGAACAAGAACTGAAGTGAATCACTGTCTCCTTTTTAGTGCAGGTCCCTGAATAATCTCCTGGTAATGTAACAGTGTTTGCTCTGTAGACAGTGTGCAATTCGTACCATAGTTGAGCAATGAAATGTCCATGTTGTGGTTTGGAAGGGTTTGGGGGTTTGTTTTTGGGTTGCTCTTTCTGTTTGAGGGATGCATGGGGAGGAGGAGCCCTGGGTTGGGTTTTTGTAATGTGAGTTGGGGGAGGAAGTATCCACACAGAGATACCAGATCATGGGAATTGCTGAAACTGTTTTTGCTACTATAAACTGTAATTTCTTTATACTGGCTTAATTGGGAAATAGTAGTAGTAGAATCAAAGAGTATCTCAAGTTGGAAGGGATTCATAAGGATCATCGAGTCCAACTCATGCTCCTCACAGGACTACCTAAAACTGAACTGTATGACTAAGGGCATCCTGCAGATGCTTCTTGAACACTGGTAGTACTACCACTATTGTAGTTTCATAAAAAAATCTGAGTAAAAATAAGAACTGTAATAAGTGTGCTGAATAATGCAGGGCTTAAGTTTGAAATAATGTATTGTAAACTGATTTTATAAACTAAATTAATACCATAGAAAATAGGGGGGAAAGCTTTTTTTTGTGTGTGTGGCTGAAAAAAGAAATTGCATTGCAATTGGTGATTTAGGATTCTGTTTCCTTTTTTAAAATTTGTTTTTTTAGACTTTGGATCTTCTGACAGTGAAGCAGATGAGTCATCTGAAAAGAATTTGAATGAAGAATTTTCTCCGGAAACTTCAGAACTGGAAAAAAGTGAAAAACTACATGATGAGAAGCTAGATGAAGAAAACCCAAAGATTCCTCATGCATTGAAAGAAAATGACAGGACTCAAGTACAGCCACTAGAAACACTGAAACTGGAAGTTGAAGAAATTGAACAAATTGTTCAGATTTTTGGAAATAAAGCGGAACAAATAGAAGAAATCAAAAGAGAGGCTGAAAAATCACCTAAAGGAAAAGGGAGAAGGAGCAAGACAAAAGATGCCGCTTTAGAGAATGCAAAGATTTCACCAGGAAGCCAAGAAGAGGTGGCAAATGAGTCTCTTACAGAACCTGAAAGATTAGATGTATCTTCCTTGGACTGTAAAGAAATTTCCAGCACTACTGAAAGTGAAACAGAACCTTCTACAAAAGATAAGAAGCTTTTGAAAAGGAAAACTTTGGAACAGGCGTCGCCCGAGAAGAGAAATCGGCGCGAGAGTGAGATGGAAGTGCCAAATATTGTATCTGAAGAGAGGACCAATGAATGTACTGGAGCAGAAGAATGTAGGGGGCTGAATGCTGAAAAGTCCCACAGAACTGAAAATGAGGAAATGCCATCCCTGGTGGCAGAATCTGTCCAGCATGGTCAAGAGCTGAGGAATGAGAACTTCGAACGTCCATCTGAAGAAAACGAGAACGCTCCCTTAAAAGACGAAGACGATGCCATGCCTCAGATCGGCCCCGAAACTTTGCTGTGCCATGAAGTAGACTTGGATGACTTGGATGAGAAGGAGAAGAGCAGTAGTGAAGACACGCTATCAGAAAAGCCAGACCCTAATGCTTCAAATTCAGCCTCGTCTGCCTTACCCCCCACCGTCCAGGGGAGCTTCTCGGCGGCCTCGCCGCTGGCGCTCAGCCAGGACGAGTCGCGCAGCGTCAAGAGCGAGAGCGACATGACCATCGAGGTTGACAGCGTGGCAGAAGAGTCCCAAGAAGGGCTCTGTGAAAGTGAGTCTGCTAATGGATTTGAAGCCAGTACCACGTCAAGCAATTGTAGCATAGCTGCGCAAGAGAGAGAGATGGGAGAGAAAGGTGAGTGTCCTGTGGGAAGTCACCCTCTGCTGCGACCCCTTCTGGAGTCGTCTTGAGTCTGGAGGCACTTTGCTAAAAATCGTTCCTTCCTTTTATCCTCTGATTTTAAATTCCTTTGTTGCTTATGAAGAGAGCTTGTTAGTAGCAGAAATATTTGGGGCATCCTTTTTTCTTCTCGTTTAGGTCAAAAAAGACCCAGTGACAGCAATAGTGGAACACTGGCAAAAAAACAAAAGCGTACTCCAAAGAGAACAAGTGCTGCAGCCAAAAATGAAAAGAATGGAACAGGTACATTGCTGGAGGGGGAGGGTCATGATGCCCTGTAAACAGGGACTCTTTGAACAGCCCCACGGTCTCACCATCACCCGTGACCTCTGCTGGGTGGGAGTTCCCTGTCGGAGGGTTTCTTTGTTCTTCATTAGGATTATTGGCTGTTATCTGCAGAGAACTTCCCAGCTGCCTGATAGCAGCGTAGCCAGGAAGTCTCTTGGCTATTTTTAATTAATTTGTTATGAAAAAATGTTTCATAACTGTGTATGTTAGCAGTTAATGAATATTTACCATTAAGCCAATTTTTTCATATTGGGTGGGTTATGAATTTGGCAGAAAGGAGCTTGTTCTGAGTAGAGGCTTCTCCTGCGAGGTGTTTCTCATGGGTAAAAATGCTTTTACTGAAGTTTGGAGAAAATGTTTGATGTGACAGAATAACTTTTCAGCAAAAGCAATTTTGTGTTCTTTTTATCTCAAGTATGTGACTGTTTTTTAACTTCTATAGCAAGTCTGGATTTTTATGTTTCTGAGCTCATTTTTGGTGATCATTGCATTGAATAAGTCAATATGTGTAGGCCGCATGGCAGCATTGTTATAATTTTAGTATCAAACTAAAATGTTAATTATCTGACATACAACATTCAGACATACTTCACATGCCTGTGTAAAAAAATTTGGAATTATTGTGGGAATCTAAAATAGTTGCCTATATTAGCTTAAAATTTTCTGTTACATGTTAAAGCTTTTATGCTTTTAGTCATGTTTCATGCTCCTTTAGGATGTGTAAAGCAATTTGGTAAATATATGAAATCATATGCTGCCTACTGATATTAATACAGTTTTAATCCTTATAAAAAGGGATTGTAGTGTCTGCATTCTATTAAAACCCCAAAATATGTGACTTTATGAGAGCACTGATAAGCTGAATTCTCTTATTTATAATAAGCTGCTTCATTGCTTCTTTTAAAAAAAATTGATTCTCACCTTTTAAGTGAAGGACTAGTCAGCCTTTTACTGACTTCTGCATTCACAATCAGCTCACTCCAGAGCTTGGTGCATGTTCTGCCCTACAAGATTTTAGACTGAATCTGAAACAGGGTTTTTTTTTGTGTGTGTGCATTTGGGGTTTTTACTGAGCAAGAAGGAACAGTTTTTCCTTAATCACTTTTTCTGACTAGAATTACAATTTAAAAAATGTTAAGGTGATTGTTTTTTTTAAGTCCAAATCCATTTCTCTTGCTGCAGGACAAAGCAGTGACAGTGAAGACCTTCCTGTCCTGGACAGTTCCAGTAAATGTACTCCTGTAAAACACATAAATGCATCCAAACCACAGAAGATTTCTCGATCACCTGCAAGAGGGATTTCACCTCACATCAAAGATGGAGAGAAGGATAAACACAGAGAGAAACACCACCACCAGAATGCTTCTCCTAGAGTATACAAATGGAGTTTTCAGCTCAGTAAGGATTCTTTAAGTGATTTGATTAGAGGGGCTTTACACAAAAATCTGTTCTGAAAGAAAAATGTGCAAATTTGGGGATTCTAAATTAGGCTTAGGCCTTTTGTGGTGTGTTATCTTCCATGCTACATCCTGTACGCTGCTAAGAATTGTGTTCCTTTGTTTAAAATCACCTTGATGAAGCTATGTTTTCTTCTCACATTTCAGATGAGCTAGACAATATGAGCAGCACTGAAAGGATCTCCTTCTTACAAGAAAAACTACAGGAAATACGAAAATACTACATGTCCTTGAAGTCTGAAGTAGCAACCATAGACAGGAGAAGAAAACGATTAAAAAAGAAGGACAGAGAAGGTAACTATCAGATTTGCTTTATGCTTCCCATGAGAAGTTAATTTTTGTGAAAATACATAACTTGAAATTTAAGTGATAGAATTTTGGAAAAAAAAAGTGTTATCTGTATGTATTCATATTTAGAAAGAATATTTGTGGCTTTTCAGAACTTAAACCTAACAAAAACATTGACTAGTTTACAACTGTGTATTAGAAACTTGGACCTCCTAGTGCAGTCCCAGTCCAGGTTCTCAATCAGTGCAGTGACTCCCCTGACTTCTCTCTTCAGCTGGTCTGTGATGCAGGAAGGGTGAGATTACTCATCCAGCCCATGTCCGTACAGCAGCTAAAGCAACTGGCAAAAAGTCCATATCAATTTTCTGTGACTGTGCTGCTGCTTTGAGGTCTTTTAAGCAACCTAACAACCAAGGAGACCTTAATTCTGAGACGTGCTTTGCTAACCTGAACGCTGATCTGCTGTTCTGTATATTCAGTGTCACATACAGGAGCATCCATGTCATCTGCTTCTTCAGACACTGGAATGAGTCCATCATCATCTTCTCCTCCACAAAACGTGCTTGCTGTAGAATGCAGGTGATAAACGTTTCTCTGCCTTGCCAGCAACTTGCTGCCATGGACATAAATCCTGAAATTCAACCACAGAAAGCACTCAACTGGTTTGACATTGCCAAGTATATTCTGTACACACTTCCACTGCTGGACTGTACCTGTTCTCCCCTCCTCCCCTCTTCTTTGGTTTAATTTACTGTTCAGAGGATTTAAGCTCGTTGGTAACTGAAGGTTGTAGGCACAATGTGACATGCTCCTCATTGTGTTTGTCTTCGTTTGGTTTGGTTTTAATTATTTTTTTTTTTATTAACGCAGAGAAAGGGCACTTATCCAATTTGAAACCTTATGTCCAGTGAAGCATTCAGGTGTTCTAGGGAGATCTTAGAAAAGCAAGTGCACCAAGCAGACATCAGAGTGTTACCCAAACAGAATTGCCACTGCTGCACTTTCAGCGAGCTGTCCATTAACTCTGGGTGAGTAGTTCCTCTTTGTGGAAGCACTTGCTATACAGAACTGCCAAAGTGGGTGTTCAGTGCTGTGCCCAGTTCTAAAGGTGTAAATGGGACAAAATAAATTGTGAAAGGAAGTGTAGTTGACTGAAAACTACAGTTGTAATAAGTCTTCCACTTTTTATAGGATTTTTGAGCACACAATTATGCAAATATTTTAATGTTTATTAATGTTTACAGTGGAATTGTGAATAGGTTTTCAGTGGACTATCTTATCCCTTGACAAAAATATTTTGTCTTTTTTCTATGTAATTTCAGAGTTTTTATTTTGTTACAAAAAGACGAAAAATGAAATATATAACAACAGTGAAGTTATTTAACAAGATTTCTAAAGCTGAAATTTTTGTGTAAAATAAGGTATCTTGCAACTTGTTAAATATATTTATTCAGACATTGGATGTTGTATTTTTATGTATTTTTTAAAATATTAATAAAATTGGAAAAAAAAAATAAAAAAAAGAAATTCTAGGTTAGTTCACTCTTTGGATTGAAACATAACTTAGCAGTTAAGGCTCTTAGGGAGGCTCTGTCCAGTAGCCGCGCCTGTATTTCACATGGGTCTGTCTACGTCTCCTCCACAACAGCAATCTCTAAGCGGGCATCTGGATCCAACCATGACTTTATTTGGAAACTTTGGCAGTCCTAGTACCAAAACCTTATTTTGAGGAACAAAATTTGTTGGGTTGCCCTTGAGATACTTTTTGTCACCAGTTCTTACGTTGGCGATGCTGCCGAATGAATTTACATCTCCCGAAGCTGAGATGCAACCACAAAGTAAAGCAACTGTGTGTGCTTCGCCTGTGGATTGTCCCACAGACCGATGCAGCCTGTAAATAACTCTTCCAAAACCATGTATTTAAAGCAGTTTGCCTATACATTATGTATAAAAGTGATTTTTTTTATCAATTTTTTTATTCATGTTTGTACATTGAAAGGGGTTCTTACCCCCTCCTTCTGTGTTTAATATGCTGTAGAGTAATAACATAGATGCTCTAGACTGTATATCAGGATTTTCTGGTTCACCCGGCAGAAGGTCAGAACAAAACACTAGTGATGGCGTAGCATTACTAAAATTGATGTTTCTTGAAACTTCATTTTACAACATTTGTCAACTTGTGATTCCAATTCCTTTCATTTTTGCAGAAAATTAAAAGAAAAAGTACTCTTGTAAATGCACTTTTTCTGTCTTTTCTTAAGCAAAGCAGAACTATTTCAATGTAAGATACATATGGAGCTCACTAGACAGCATTAATAAAGGCCATGTTTTAAACATAGGCTTTATATTCTATTTTTATTTAAGTGATTGTTCTTGTAAATGTCTAGACTTGCCTAAATAGGAAAAATTAATCTCCATAAATTGATGTAAAGACTTTTTTTCAGAGCTAACTTTTACTGTTCATCTTATAATAGCTATAAATAAAAAGCAATACTCATTTAAAAGGAAACAGCACGGGTCACATTTTCTCAGATTATCCTCCACGTTCAGCATTGGCAGGAGTCCATTTTCAATTTGATGAAACGATAGGATGAGTTGCAGCTGATGCAGGCATCTAACCTCTGTCTCCCAGCTGTGTGAGACCTCAGCCAGGCAGGTGGCCACGCTGGGCACGTGGAGGTGAGGGATGGGCTCTGAGCTGTCCGCACTGCGCACCGACCGCTGCTCCTCATCTCCTGGGAACGGGTAAAATCTCACGTGGAGACTGAAGGTGTGGATGGTTCCAGGAAACACAGAGACCCATCCTAACAGGTGGTTGCTCCTTGACGTGGAGACCTTGCTTCCTCAGGTCCTCTCCCCACCCGCATGCCGTGCAGGCAGACAGACACCCAGTGACATCCCACAGCACTCTTAAGTCTGAAAAGAGAGAAGGTGGACTTGCTGCCAAGCCACTGGCAAAGTCTCCAGTGTGTCACTGATTTCCTAGTTTTATCTTTCTGGCAATGAGTCTATCAGCCAGCCAGATTATTCCATAGAAGTTCCAAGTAGTTTCTTGTGGCATTCAAAAATACCACTGGAAAAAGAAGATGATATAACATGGGACTATTCTGGACCAAAGGTGGTATCACCAAGAAACCCTCACAGCTCTTTTATTTCTAACTTTACTATAATCCCCTTTATTTCTGCTTTATTGACAAAATAAGCTCCAAAGTGTCTCCTAATGCCTTGAATGAAAATTTATGCTGTTGAGGATGCAGTAATTCTGATTATACCAAACTGGGATTTTTTTTATTATTTTTTTTTTTTAATAAGAGATATGGTGTAGTGTTTGCAAGAGCAATCAAAAATAAAGCACCCTCTTGGCAGACATCACGCTGTTCTCCTGCCTTCTAATCTTTTACAGGTTTTCTCAAAATGGTATCTGTTATTTCAAGCTTAGTTAGGAAGTAAAAAAAAATCATTAAGATTACGAGATCAAACACTTAGAACTGTTAAAAAGAAGAGTTAAAAAAACTGTTAAAAGAAGAGATTCTGTAAGAGAATTCAGGCTCTTGCCTCCACCTCCTGCAATTTGTACAAAACCTGTCAGATTTCTTATTTTGTATTAGCATAACATCTGAAAGTTGGAAAAAAACTTGAAACATTTGCATGCAAGGAAATAAGGTAAGAAAAAGTTCATTTCCCTTTTTGTTCTAGTTTTTACTGTTATTCCATGAAGTATACCAGCTACACATACACTCCGGAGTTTTATTTCTCTGTAAATGTGTCAATTTAGCAATACCCAGTTAAATCTCCACTTGTTTCTGGCTCCTCCATCAGACTGCTAGTGTTTGAGAAACCTCTTGCTTCATCAGGCTGAACAGATCAGACACAAGGATGCTGGAACAACAATAACAAGCCATTATTTCAGCAGGGGTTAAACAGATTTACAGTCATCATTAGTAGTGAGAGACACATGCAACAAGGGCCAACAACAGTGTGTGTCTTCACAAAGCAGAACTTGTCTGACCTTCCCAGGGAGCTGCAAACCTTCAGTTTGAAGGACAGCAGAAGAGAAAGGGTGGTTAAATCCCTTCTTTGCTGTTTGCACAAATTCCAGTAGAATCTAAGGGGTTTTTTTTGACAGGTGCAATATTAGAATGAGCTTGGCAGAATTTTTTTTAAATGGATACATTTCTTATTGTACTTGTTGGGAGCCACTTAGTAACAGCTACCAAAATCACCCAGGTTGGCTTTGATGGGGACCTGGAAAGAGAATCTGAACTGTAGGATTGTCCACTCTTGTGTCCAACCATCCACTCCTCAGAGAACCTCTTCTCTCCAGATAGTTTTGTCAACCAGATGGAATTTTACATTTAAAAATTTAATTTTCTCATAAAATGTTCTTCTTTTCAGCATTAAAAATATTGTTGGATAGCTGAGGTAGCCAAGTGGGTTTTCTGGGCAGCATTTACTGGAATTCTTTTACAGCAGTAAGTCTGAAAAATGCTGTTTTAAGAGAAGAGCATGTTTGGTTTGATCACTCAAAACAAATCTGATGGATGAGCTGGAAACAAAGCTGAAACAAAAGATGAATGTGTCAACCAAAGTGTGTCAGAAGTGTTTACTTCTCTATGCCCTTGTGCTTTGCAGATAATTTGCAGTAAAATCGTGGTTATTCTTACTCCTCTGTACTTGGGATTTTATTATTTGCTACAGTATGCAGGATAATTCTACCTCTGGAGATGTACAGAAACACTGCAAAGCAGTGAAACCAATGGGGATGTTGCCAGAGACTGAGTCACTGTAATTCCAGGGCTTAGGAAAAAGACATTTTATAATTAGCTCACACTATATATCAAGCTATTGCTCTCAAATCTGGAAAAAAACCCTGTCATTCTACCAAATTATCTTCCAGCAAATAGCAGTATTTTTTTAAGAGGAGTCTGGGAGAATTAAAATTATTCACCTGTATTAGTTATCACTAAGTAGCTGGTATTTACTGGGTGGGGGGGGTTGTCTGTAATTTTTGGAAATCCTCAATTTCAGAAAATTCCACAAGCATTTGTGAGCTGTATCCCCATATTCCGTGGAACAGGTGCATTTAGGTTTTTGTGTTACACTCTTATTGGTCTAAATATCTCCCTCTTTTAATGCATCCGAGTGGTGGATTTTGTGGTTAGTCGCAGCCCGATGACAAATCCTGCACTGCTATGTAAAGCAAACTGAGCAGGTGAGGCAGCCTCAGCCCTGCCATCAGACAGCTTCTCCCCCTGTCAAAGAACAGGACTTTCCTGGTTGCCTCTCTGTTCAGAACTGCCTCCTGTCATTGATGTTCCTATCCCTGCTCCTTCCCATTTTCAGAGAAATCCTCTTCCAGAGCAGGGCTCTGCTGGTCAGTTGTGCTTCAGGCCTGCACCTGCCCAGCTGTTTGTACTTGCACCCTTGTGCTGTTCCTTACCCTGTAGCAGTTTCAAAGGTGAGAAAGGGCCTTTGTTTTAGGACACATGTTTTGGTGAGGGACACAGTTCCATGTCACTGGCACTGTCCCTCTCCTTGCTCCTCAGAGTAACCTAACGATTTCATTCCAGCCCTGTCATGTCTTCAGCTGTTTCTAAACTACTGCTTCTCTAATCCCTCATCTGGGTACAGCTTGACCTCTTTTGCTGTGATCCTGCCAGCTCTGCCAGTTATGTAAGGAGGGGTAAGATGTGGAATTTGTATAAAATACTTGGTTATGTTGCACATGGGTGGGGGTTTTAACAAACCAATTATTCATGTGTATGTGCAGCTTAAAACTGTATCTCTCCATGCTCATTTCTTTCCTGAAAATTACTTCCCTTGGGAATGGGTAAGTTTTAAAGATACCTATGAAAGAAGCGGGGGTGGAGGATAAGGAAGAAAAGACCCCAAACCCTTGACTCTACACTCTGCTTCCCACCCTGCAAATGACCATCCCTGTGTGCCATCCCAGCAGCTTCTCCACGGAGTACTGCTCTTTATAGTCAAGTCTCTCATTGCCTGCATTAGGTTGGGTTGCTTGTAAGGGGTGTCTTCTGCACTCTTAGTTTTTGTTTTCCTCTTTTATTTCAGTTCAGGCCCTGTCACAGAGGTGGCTCCAGCTCTGTTGTCTTCCTGCCGTGGCCACCCCGGCCACCTTTGTTACCTGCCGCAGCACTTCACTTCTCTCTCTGAAACATCCTACCTGCAAGAAGAAAAGAAACCTGGGGTTTTTAATTCCTGTGGGACCCTCCAAGGCCCAGCCCTGGGCACCCACAGCTCCACCCAGGTTGGTTCTGTGGCTGCGTTACCAAGGGGAGTCCCCTCCTCGCTGTGAAGGAGGCTCCAAACCCTCCTCTCTCAGCTGTGACTCAAAACGTTGTTCCAAACAGGTCCCCAGGGCAGCAACACACATGGAAATTCAATGTGTGCTTGTGCAGAAAGAGAGGGGAAGAGGGTCCCTAGTTCCATATCCTAGTAAGGGCAGGGTCTGTGCAATACAGAAATAGCCACTAACTGGATTTTGGCTGTGATTATTTGAAATCTAGATAAGCTTCCCTTTGTGTTACATAAACAAATGGTGCTATGTCAAGTATACTACCTTAAATATTTACACAGTAAGCCCAGCTCCCTCAGCAGTCTCCCCCGTTCCCTTAGATTACAGTCAGAGAAGAAAAAAATTCTCACCAGCCGTTATCTGTTCAAACCTTGTATAAATGTAGATGATTTTTCTAATGAAGAGTGATTTAGGTCTTTTGTATATCTCAGTTACACCTGGTTCTGTATGCAAGAAATCCTGAGAAAAGACTTGACCATCATTTTAGTGCTGAACCTCTGAAGCTTGAATGTTGTCTGCTCCTAAGAATGCTCCTAACCAATACCAAAATACTGAGGCATGAAATTAAACAGAATTTAAAAAAAACCCCTAATATTTAGCATAAGTATAACTTTAGACTTGGAGTTCTTTTAATGCTGTCTTCTTGAAACTCAGGGTGCAAGCATCATGCAAATTTAGATGTTACAAGCTCTATTTGCTTTCACAGGTTTTAAAATTCAGGCCAGACGCATTCAATAAATTTTGGATCTGAGCTTAATGGACTTCCCAAGATGTGATCTCGGATCCTCAAATGGTGTGTGCTGACATCCTAGCCTAGTTAACAGGAAATGCTGCAGAAGGAGCTGTTGCCTAAACTCCAGATCTCAAAGCTGGGTAGGTAAGAGGATGGAGGAATGCCTCCTGGCACTGAAGGCACAGCCACAGTCTGGCTCTTGGCTGTCAGGATTTAACCCTTGCTCTCCTTACAGAAGATTGCAGTCACATCCTTCCCCTGCTCTGACAGAGAGCTCTGAAGCTCTCAGCAAGGGGTTACAGAAACTAGGACTTTGCTCTTATCCTTGAGAGAATTAAAGGAACCTCTATTTTAATCTTCCAGATGATTGATCTGATCACTTTGCCAGTACCACTGATGTACAGGGCTCTCATTTGCCCCTTCTGGT